ACACAATTTTACAATGTTTCTCCTCATCTAAGAAACACATATTTTTCTACTTTACATTTTTTTTACAATTCCCAGCTCACAAAAAAGAACACAATTTGCGCAAAGACACTCTTTAAAAAGAAGTGCACCCAATGCTACAAATAAACCTTTTCTCTCAAAGAAGCTTCTGTGTTAGTGATTAAACAAAATATATCTCTATCTGTCACTCAGTGTGAAATGAACTAAATAGAAATATTTTCTTTTATTTTCTTTTTGTGTAAACATAAAACATCTCTGAAACTCCTTGAATCCTGCTTGCCAAAAGCTTCTTGGTATTGTGTCTGAAATGCCAATTCAGCCAGTTACTGCTCCCTCCCCCTGCCCCCCAAAAAAACAACGCAGGCCTTATGTGGTGCTCAAATATTTGCGAATATCATTTCCAATAGCGTCCAATAATCAAACATGTTCTCATAGGAAAATGCTCCGGTTTATTTTTTTTTCAGAGCCTCTAAGTACCTTTCAGTCTTTCCTGAAGAGAAACATGAGCAAACATAGTCCTTAGATGCTGTTTCTGGTACGCAGATGCGGAAAGGTGGAGGCACCTGAGCAGCGCACAGAGTGAAGCGCTGTGCCCGCACGTACCTGCACAGCTCACCTGCAGCGCAACAGGAGGAGCTCCACATGCCTGTGAGTGCGAGAGATAGCATCTGTGTGAGCGTGCACACCCGCTGGTTAAAGGTGGGCAAGGGGCACCTCTGCACACAAGCTGTGAGTGTGAGGAATGTTAAACTGGTAACTGTGTTCTCCCCAGGTCATCCCATTAAGTTCAAAGCACTGTAAAAACAATAAAGCAGGACACACGTGCACATCGGAATGCAGACGAGTATCATGAGTCAAGCTGGCTCTAAAGATCTGGGATGAAGACTTTCGTTTTTGTTACACGACAGAGGGCCCCTAGTGAAATGGCAAAACTGCCATTTCCGTCTGCAGCACATGCTGCCCGCCCAGCTTGTGATGGGTGCTCATAGCACAGCATGGGGGAATTAAAGGCTCTGTCTTACCATGCATCAAGAACGTTTAGGGAGAGCTGTCCACTCAGCTCTGACTCTGAACTTTTGTTAAACTGTGGTATAAACTCTTAACCAGATACTCACACGTGCCTTTTTATAAAGGCAAAATCAAAGTCTTGTCCACATACATGCCTGATTGCCTTTTTTTTGTGCTGACAGAGTCACTTGGTACAGATTTACAATAAAGGAGGGTAAAAAAGATACATATTTTGAAAACTACTTTTGACAATGTTTCATATACTTATCAGAGCAATAAAGATCCTCATTACAACATCTTTTTTGTCGTTTTATGGTTACAAATAGGTATATCAAACAGAAGGGTCACATGTAGCATCCAGTGGGCTATAAAACATCTGTAATCCATTAGTTTTGTGGCGGGATTTACTAAAAGACGAAGAACCTCATTCTAGATTTGTTGCACACAGTGTTCCTTGGGAGTATTTCTTTCCCACAGCCCAGTAACTGCTACTGAGAATGAGGGAATACAAAGTATTTTTGTACCTCCTCCTTTCAAAAACTGAGGGAGAGGAAAGGAAATGAAGATAGCTTCCCTTTGGTGGACATTTCATATGCTCAAGTTAACCTCTACATCCAAATCAAGAAGCTTTTATGGTGGTAGATTGACAGGTAAGTTACTGGTAGCAGATGGGTGTCAAAATGAGCCCCAGCAGTGACTCTGAGACCTTGGAAAAACTCTGGGAAGCTGACTGGTACTGTGAAAAAGAGAGGTAGTCATTATGGCTGTATGTTTTTAAAAATAGCCTTAGTAGATCCCTAGAAGAGAAATGGGAACACATGTTATTACATCATGTTTCTACATGATGTAATGTGTTTACATCATGCTATCTCTGTCACAACAACAATCTTTATCTCTTGCCATTTTACAACAACTGTCCCACACACGTTTGATGAAGAAGGAGCAGGCAGCAACTCAGCCCTGAAGCTTATGATATGATTAGACAAACACATGTATGCAAATATAACCAACTCCTCCACTTCACTGGTCAGATGAAAGGGAACACAATGATTTCCACAGTCAGGATATTCTGGCAGACTCAGGAGGACATAATGTGCCTTAAATAATAGCATATTGGATTGCTGGCCCTTTTTATTATGAATTGAAAGGGAAATCTTTTCTGTAGCTGTTGCATTCCATACTGCTGTTTTGGAACATCTTGCTGCAGTACACATTGATGACGGTGGAATTAATCTTACTGTATAGTACTGCATAAGACCAAGTTATCCTTAAGGAAAATTAGTATCAATTTTCAGGAGTTGGAGCTTAGGCAAAAAAGGGAAACCAAAGGAAGGAAGGAAACCAAATATAATGGAACTATGGACAAGGAGAAATATGTATGAGGCATAATACACTTCCATGCAGAGAATCTGAATGGAAGCTCATTTTTTTTTCTGAAATTATTCTAACCCCCTTCTCTACATTTAGTTTTCTACAAAGTAAGGTGTATGTTTTAGAAAGTTTTATACAATTTTTTGCCCAATTCTTGGAAAATACATATACTCAAACTGTTAGTAGTTTACCAAATATGTTATTTACATACAATAAGCAGTGACATTGAGACACAGAGGATGTATCATATCAAAATGAAACACACTTGTTTCCCATTAGCAAGTGGTCACTAAGAGCAGGCCACTTTTCAAATCCAGCATATGTAAAAGAAAATACACTACTTTAAAAACATGTTATTTTTCCCTCCAGTCAAACATAGGATCTCTGCCAGTGATTTACGGATTTAGCACTTCTTTGTTGCATTTGGGCTTCTTTCATCACTTAACAGGTATAACAATTTCAACATAACCACTACATTCAGGATGTCTGCCTCTTGTTTCAGACATCAAAGACTTCCACAAACCCCCATTATCTTCATCTCTTTAAGCATCCATAATGAATGCTTAAAAAAATCCAGTGGTGTGCAGCACATAAAGATTCACTTTAAAATTCAGATGCTAGTAGGTCTTGCTTACTTTATAGTGAGATTAATTATATGCTACTTCTTTCGCTTTTCTGACCAGCTTCCTGTTTTCATAGCTTTCAAATACGCAATACTTTTCATTAATTACACAGTTACTGCCTCCCATCTGCTTATAAAATTAACATTTTTAGCAAACTGAAGGGGAAAACACATCAACTCAATGCCAGCTTTGCAGAGCTTGTATTCATTATAGTGACTTTTCACCTCAGATTTGACATGTGAAGATCCAAGGCAACAGTATATAAAGAATGAAATATTACAATCTACAGGGGAGAGAGCATAGATAAAATTTTCTACTATGTATCTCACTGCAGTGTTGTCAGCTACCTGGTTTTCTAAACAGTCGAGGGCTGTGTTCAGTGCAATGTGATGGATGACTAAGGTTTCAAAGGTTTATTCTGTTTGGTGTTGCTATTCTGAAGAATCTTAAAAAATTACCCTCTCTATAAGGGAAGCAGAGGAACTTGGATAATTTGTGAATACACCTGCCCTAGCTTGGGTGCCAGAAGCAGCCTAGCTATGGCATTAGGATCTCAGGATAGACTATTTACCTCTATCTTGCAAGTTTGTTTGGCATCCAATATTGAACCCTATGCTACCATAACTAAACTGCTGCACGTTGCCTGTTAGCCAGCAGGGAGGAAGCCTCAGCTATGACTGCTACGCAGGCATACCTTTAATCTTAGAGGCTAAGGCAATGGAAAGAGTCTATCTTGAGTACATCTTGTGTGTTCTTCAGAATCATTGGTCACATACAGGCTTTGGTTTAGAAAGTTCCGTTTCATGTTACTGTTAATTTGCAGTTCTCTTCAAATGCTTCAGCATTGGCTAGGATGACCATGTGCAATTCATCAACATGAATAACCCCCACTTAAAGGCAAATGAGTTGAGCAAAGGTTCTTCAAAAATATGCTAAGGATAGTTATAAAAAACAGTGAAATAAGGGCAAACATATTGGAGTGTTCACTGTGGCACCCCCTCCACTTACATCAAGCATAATCACAAAAAAAGATTAAAGAACATCAAAACATAGCAGGCTTTTAGCTGGGCCATTTCATATTCAGATCAATTTTTTTTTCAATTTAAGTTGAAATAAAATCACCACCACATTATCCTGCAGCAGAGAAAAGCAGCATGAAGGGCACAGGCAAGTGAACAAAACTTCCTGATCTTAGCATCTGAATGTATGTCTAGTGTGTAAATTGTTGGCATAGACTTCTGTGAAACTGCACAAATGCACAGTATACCCAGAGCTCAACAAGAGGGAGGTATTCTGTGTCCTCTCTCTGTGAATGTTGTTTTACGCACAGCATGAATGTGTATTAATACACATGAATTCAGTATGCTAGATTTTCCACTTGTATTGCAGGCTATCTGCCACTCCACAGGGTGAACCTCACTCACTAATACGGGATTCCTATGGAGACATTTTTTCCTTCTATTCATGTGAAATTGTAAGGCCTCTGCATGAAAATCACCACCCCTACTACTTGCAGTGGAGAGTGATTTCACGCTATGACTATATGTGCACAGATGCACACATAAATATCCACACGTTCATTCTGTACATATATCAAGGTACACATACATTTGTACATTCTTTGGTGGCAAAATAAAAAAAAAAAAAAAAGGAGAGTACTGCAAGGATTGTGCACTTAATGAATCTGCTTCTCAAAGATTGCGTGCAGCTATAACAGGAGTTATTTTGCCTCTTTAAGGACTATTTCTTGCATTGACAAAATGCCATACTTTTACAATGACTAAAACAGGGCACAAGGAAAGCCAAGATAAGAAACACAGCTCACACTATGAAAGATAACTCAGAGAGAGCTGCTTGTACCCATGTCAACACATCATGAGAGAAGTAGCCATAAGCTTTCATCTACGAGAACTCAGCGCTTCTTTTGTTACTGTTGGATGCAGTGTTGAGCTGTGACATACCCTTCTGCCCTGCTTGTGGGTTTTCTCTTTTTGTTTCTTATTCAAATTGAATTAACAGAAAGGATAGGATGTTGGGAGCAGCAGATGAGGCTGGCAGGACAACGCCGCACTGAAGGGCTATCAGCCTGCGTGATAAAGGTAACGACTCTTCTCGTTGCCATCTTCAGGACATCAAACCTGCATCTCAGAGGTGCTGATCAGGCCCAGTGCTTTGGCTTCTTCTGGTGTTAGGCCGCTTTTTAGTGTCCTTCTTACTGTACAGTCATAAAATCCAAAGGCAGGCAAAAAAAGAACAAACAAAGAAAAACCAAACAATTAGCAGTAATGATTACACAAGGCTTTCAGCTGAAAAATGAACTCTAACATGCAAGGTGAACCCACCCAAAAGTTGCTATGTACTCAAGGTCTCAAATTCAGAAATATTGAGTAAAACTGTAGGCCAAACATAAAAACACTTGTCATGTGATATTTAGTCAACAAAAACTTCTAAGGAAAACACCACAGCATTTTAAGAAAATGTTCTCTCTGTCAGAAGGCTCTCAGTCTGTACAAAGAATCATCTATTGTGTTACTTTGTATAGTTTCAGAAAGAACTTTTAAAAGGCCTATTGGAGTTGTAGCAGACTCTGTTAGATTTTTCCCTGTTAAATCTTTCGAGGCCTTTCTACAAGGCATAAAATACAAGAAAGATTAAAATATAAATAACAATCCTGTTCTCAACTCAAATCCTTGAAAATAATGTCCTCATACTCGGTCTCTTTTTTCTTTTTTCTGTAATTCCCATGTTCTAGCCCACATCTGCATCATCTTAGTCATTACTAGTCTGCAGCATTTTAGTTGAATTTTAGCTGAATGGTAAAATCTAAGCTATGAAGCTATCTGAAGCCCAGTTCTGACACAAAACTTTCACAATTTTTGTTTGCCTTCTTTTTTCATACACAAGTGACTATGTGACTACATACACTAAGCATTGTTTTCCTACATTTTCTGTCACCCTACTTTTCAGATGAATGCAATGTAGTCCAAGGTGCAACTGTAAAAAAACACCAAGTGTCTGCATCACTCCTCATTATTGATATTCCTCAAATCGGCATATACAAGTTTATGATGCATGCAAAGTGTAAACCATGTCTTTATCTAATACAGAATATATTTTGAGCCCCAAAAGAATGAAGAAATCAAGAGCAAACCCCAGAAAAACTGCTTACAAAAAGACGCTGAAGAGTTATTTTCATTGCTCTCATGTAGGTTAATTAAGACCTCAGCTTACTAAGAGATTTACTCTGTGCAACTGAAACTGGGTGGTTACATTAAAACATCTAGCAGCAGTGAGAGGAGTGCATGGACTGTTATGAAAAATAAGGGGATAGAGGAAAAAATACGGGGGAGTTGAACTTTCTGCACCATGCAGGTTGGGTGAATGTCATCTATGTTTAGCAGCCAAACCACTTTCACGACTTACTGAGGATAACTGTGTGAGTTGGGAGTGCCACACGTGCAATTATTCTTCCCCCATCAAACACTTACTTGAAGGTGTTTCTTCAAGGTGGACTCCATCCTCCCATAGTATGTGCATAACTATTAAACACCACTAGGAATTTTCTTGGCAACCTTTTATGATATGCAGCTTTCCTCAATTTTTCACAGAATCGTGATCAGTAACATCTGTCCAGTCTAACACCGCTTAACTTACTTAAATAAACTGCACAACATAAAATGCAACTGATATAGCTAAGGTTAAGAAAGACTAAAAAGTGCTGATGGACAGGGAAATATTTCAGTGCATGCTTTAGTCTCTCCTCCATGGCATAAAACACACAATACAGTGTTTTGAATCAGCCATTATGCTCAGTGCACTTTTAGACTCCTCAAATTTGATGTTCAAATACCCATACTAAAAAACAATCACTTCCAGTCATGAGTTATGAAATATCTTGGGGTTTTATTGACTCAAGGAATCACACACTGGTTGCTTCTATATCAAAATGAACTACATCAGGGATGAAAGAAGAAATCCTAGAAAGATGCAGCAGGAACATTCCTGTCTTATCTGAAGCAAAGGTTTCCCTGAACACATCACTTTCTGAGCTGCCTGGGCTCCTGAACACAAGTTTATTTCTGTACCCTCTGCAACACACAGCCAAGGAAGATAACGTAGCTGGCTTGGCTTTGCTAACAGGGATGTTAACAGGAAAGCAATACATGTTGCTTTTCAGAACTAATCAGAGACCAGCCAAAAGTGTCTGCCATTACGGTGAAAAGGGACCTTGCTCCCTAAGAGATGATGCTCTTAGGAATGAAGATGAATTATCTGCAACAGATATATTGTTGCAGCAAGGAAACTGTCAGTCATAAGAAAAAAAAAAACACAAATAGAGGAGACTGAACTTTCATAGGATGACTTTCTAAATATGGAACTTGCTCACACCACAGGTAAAACTGAACTAGAAAACTGAACATAGAACAAATTTCTGCAGTGCAAACGGTTCTACATTCATGATTGCTCTCAGGCACACATACCAACTTCACTCAGAGCATAACAACTGTTGTAAAACAAAACAATCTTCTTGTCATATGGTAAGATATGAGGAATGGGTGAACAAACAACTGTATCCCTATTTGTAAATATTTAATAGGAATTGAGGTACTCTGCTAATAGCAATCATGCACTGTATAAAATGGAACAAACAAAAAATTGTCTTATTTATGCCAAAGCAAATCACAGAATGGTTGAGTTTTGAAGGGACTTCTGGAATCCAAACCTCCTGCTCAAACATCAACAGTGCATTGCTCAGGACCATGACCAGATGACTGCCAACGATGGAGATTCCTCAGCCTCTCTTCACAACCTGACAGTACTCAGGTTGCTCATGGTAAATTTTTTTTTCTTGTGTTCAGATAGAACTGCCTGGCCTGTTCCGGTTACCTTTGGTGCAGCCACTGGACACCACTGAGAAGAGTCTGGCCCCATCCTCTTTATACTCTCCCTTCAGATATTTAATTGTTAGGATATATGCAGTTGTAATTAAACAAAATGGTCTCTTTTCCAACCTCTCAGAGTGATCGTTTTACTATCTCAAGTATCCCAGACTCTTCTGTTATCTCAGGTTTCTCCTAAAATGTGAAGAAAGACATCTCAGTGACTTGAGCTTTGAAGCTCAGCTGTTAGAAGGAAGCAGCTCCACACAATATAAGACTTAGGCATTTGCAATGTGACTGTCAAAGAGAATAGTTAATAAACAGCAAAGATGTAAAGAAACTTTTCAGTGACAGAAAGGTTCCGATAAACACAGTCAGCTGCTGACTTGTATAGACTAAGCCTGTGGGGCCAAATACTGCAGTTCTCTATTTTGAACATCAAAGCTGCCTACCATCAACAGACAACCTGAGCTATCACAGCTGACAGGATTATGGTCCAGACTGGAATGAGTGAATTCTTGCCCTACAGTGCAAAACGCTAAGCTGATACAGATGAATCCACTTGTAGTGTGCACTATTTTGTATTTAGCAAAGCGGCCTGCAAGCGGCCCGATGAAGAGTATCTTTATATCAAAATAAGATTTAATACATGCAGATTACTAACATCTGAAGACACAGCTGAAAGAAGCAACTTTTTCAGTAGGGGAAGTTCCTGCCCTGCTATATTCTCTGCAATGGCTTTTGTGTGATAAGGCCAGGAAAAAATATGAGTCACTCTATAGGAAGGGGAGTATTCCAGGAGATGGGTGAATCTTGTCTTGACATGGTGTTAAACACATGTCCTCAGACTTTTTCCTGATGACTATTTCATCATAATGCATTGGTTAGGGTTCTTTTATCTTAAAAGAAGTTATGCATTATTTCAACCATCAAAATTGAATGCAAAGAGACATTTTCCTTCAATGTTTTATTGGCCTTGAAAAATTAAGTTTCTCAAACTTAGATCTTTACTCGCCTCTCTCCACTGAATTCTGTCATGTCTCTAACTAGACTAGACATAATATCTTGGCTTGTAAAACTCTTGGCCTTCTGTAGATCACATTAAACTGAGCTGTGGAATGTATTTTAGAGGCAGTGACAATAAAAATAAGGTTTTTGAATGACCTTTTAGGTTCTTTAAGCAATTTTTAAAACATTTGCTAAAGAAACATAACATAAAGAGAAATAACTTGTCACAAGCAAGGCCTGCTGAGATCCCATAACCAAGAAACCACATGTTGTTTTTAGGCGGTCAAAGGGTATGATGTTCTTTGCTAATCAGGAAATCTAGAATTTTATCTGATATCCTTGAAGAACGCAGCATGCTTATGATTAACTCAATGAATTTGATCATGTCTGTTGGGTCAAAAAGTATACTTTGCAGAACTGCGGATGTTTTAAAGACGAGGAATTCCCCAAAGCATAGCTTGAACAAAGAAAATAATTAATTTAACTAGGGATTGGTAGGTATTTAAAGGGGAAACAGCATCCCCAATTTCCCCTCCCCCAACTTTTTGCTGTGAACGAGTCACTTGAAATGTAGATTATTTTCTGAACAAGCATGGCATTTTTTTTTGCTTGAGAAATCACAGAATTTCATGTCATTCATATTGCAAAAAGATGCAGAATCCACAAAACTTTCCTTAGGACACAGCTGACTAAGCAGCTGTCAGCTGTAAATTACAGCAAGGACAGAATAAAAATCAATTGGATTATAAGATGCAACACTAGTCAGCTCCATCACCCCAGCTGCTTCCCTTCCACACCCCAGCTCACAACACACCCAGTCTATTTTCCAATATTTACTCTTAATATATTGTCTTGGATTGTACACAATGAGTCCAGCAACGGCAATTTGCAAGGTAAAAGCTTATTCCAGATAACCCTTAATTACCCCTTCTACCCTTCTTTTACATTTGTGTATTTTACATCACTATCTGCTATCTTGCACTAAGTAATACTTAACTCTTAAGCAAGCATGGATTGTTGTTTAGTATTAGTCAAATTTAGTAAATTGTCAAAGAAGTGGCATGCACAGAGTTTTTCCTAAGGGGATTTGTGGGTGAATTTTATTAGGCACCATTCTGAAGAAGCACAGTCAACTGAAAAGTGTTCTTTGTCTGCATCGCCATACAGGAAACTCTAGAAAACAAGGCAGTATTGCCCTGCAGCTTTGTTTCCAGTCCCAACAGCATCTCATGGCCAGCACAGTCTCTCCCAACAACAACTGTATTGTTCAAATGTCTCCTGGTGTAACACATGCCCTTCTGTGACATAAAGAAGCAGCTAGCTGTGG